TGCATCGAGGAGAATCCCAAATCTTCTACCTGCAGTCTAAAGTAGCACAGCCACCACCTTCCCTTGCATAGTAGTGTCTTAATAGTGCTATATACTTGCTGAGCACACTTGAAATAGTGTGGTTCTTGCTATTTTAAGGTACTTCTCTTTGACTGAAGGTCCTTAACACATTAAGAAATCTATACTTCTACCATGGTTTTTAGCCAAGAAGGTCATAAGAAGGTTGTTAGAGAAATTTCTCTATGTTACTGATCTGATAGTAGAAAAATAGCTCTGCTGTAAAAAAAAAAAGTGATATACTAAGTGTAATGTACTCCGCCATGACCACGTGCGTGACCGTTGGGCCATGCGGTCAGGCAGAGTCCTGAAGCTTCGCTTCTCAAGAACAATAGCCGAGCGGATCCTAGCAGGTCCTTAACACATTAAGAAATCTATACCTCTACCATGGTTTTTAGCCAAGGTCATAAGAAGGTTGTGAGAGAAATTTCTCCATGTTACTGATCTGATAGTAGAAAAATAGCTCTACTGTAAAAAAAAAGTGATATACTAAGGAAAGAGTCCTATCATTGTTTGAGCATTTAACTTTTGACTATCCTATTATACTCCCAATCAGGTGGCTAAAAACTGGTAAATAAGTGACCACCCTTATGTGTGTAAAAACTGTTGATGCTTTATGGAATAATATAAAATTCAATAAAGTGTTTTTTAAAAAAATCATGTATGAACTACCACTTCTAATCCACATAGTACAGATACTTGTTTGTTAGTAGAAATGAACCCAGTCAGTCTTATCTTTAAAAAATCAATTGAAATCAATAAACTTAGAAGGGTGTAACTCTGTTGAGGCCTGCACTGCCATGTTCACATCTGATGCCTAGCACCCAACACCCACACATTCAATGTTATATTAGCCCAGGGATGTGTGTGAGAACACCTAAATGTACATAATTCATTAGACTGTGCACATCAAAGTTGTCTTTCCATGTTTCTTGAATGTGTGGGAGGGGGGAGCAAGACCACATACACTGTTCTCTCTCCTGACCTTCACACATTTACTGGAACATCTGCATTATTCAGCTCTACCTGTATAAACTTCTGTCCTCTCAGTTGGGATCCCTGTTTTTCCAGATCAATGAGTGACAGTGAAGTGACAATGAATAAGGAATTGGGGCTGCCTTAGGCTTCGTGAACACATACGAGACGGTGGAACAGGTTGTACAATTTCATACTGCAGGGGGGAAACTCACGTTTAATGGTTGTTCACCCAAAACATCCTGCAAATAAAAAATTAGCACTCAGGGAGAAAGGTTCTAGCCTAGCCTTTTACATATCATGATCGTTTCCCACTTACAGGGAGCAATTAATGTAGGCAAACCTTGGATAAAACCTCAGCTGCAGGATGAAGTAGTATGGATTGCACTATCATACCACCTCAGTTCTACTGCATGTGCAGACCAGCTCTCAGCTGACTGGAATGACTATAAAAGTACCAGAAGAGGAGTACTGAGGGCTGACATCTTTTCCTGTCCAGACTACTTGTAACAATCGGGTTACATTCGTACCCAACTCGGTAACCATGGTAGCCTGTTGTAGCAAAATTAAACTGGAGTCCGGTAGCATCAAAATATATTCCATTATCAGCTTTAGTCAGTGAGTCGCATCTTATTCATCAAGTGCATGGATCGTTCCTCCAGGTCAGCTAAAGTTATACTTGGGAGTTCAAAGAGGAAGTGGGAAGAAGCTACAAGGAGAAGCCTTGCTTTACATATTGGACGCTATGCATCTGATGAGGTAAGCTCCGACTCACGAGAGCATATGCTGGAATAAATTCTGATAGTTTTTAAAGTGCTACCACCCACATCTCACCCACGTACGCCATACCGGCTGCTTGTAGGAACGCTGGGAGCCTCCACGACCGACGGACAGGGGGGAGAGCAGAACTCCCTCGGCGCTCCCTCCCTCCCTCCCTTCTGGGGGACGTGGAGGAGGCGGGCTGGTTTGAAAGGCAGGCGGCGGCTGCGAAGTCAAGCATTCGGGCGGGCGCAGTAAGAAGACGAGTGTCGGGCTGCCTGCAACCGCGTAGCAGCGCCAGCGCCGCCTGCCTGAGGTGGAGACTGCCGCAGGCTTGCCTGCCCCTCTCTTGCTTGTTTACTTCTGCCTTCCTTCTCCTCTCCCGCCGACCCCCCCTCCCATGGCCTTCATGATGATGAAGAAAAAGAAATTCAAATTCCGCGTGGAGCTGGAACTGGACGAGCTCTCCTCGGTGCCCTTCGTCAACGGGATCCTCTTCTGCAAGGTGCGGCTGCTGGACGGCGGCAGTTTCAACGGGGAGTCCTCCCGGTAAGGTGCCCTCGTTCCCCCACCCTGGGGTTTTTTTGGGAGCCATGCCGAAGGTCTTCGTGGGTAACTTTCCTTCCCGTTCCTCCGCGGCCGCCCTCCCCTCCCCTCCCCTCCCCTCGCAGAATGCATTTATTCCCATCACGGAAGACGGGGGGAGGGGGAGAAATCTGCAATCCACCCCGAAAGCTTAAAATTGGACCCGGAGCTATGTGTAGCGCCCGAGCCTGAGGATATCCTCTTGTGTAAACGTGGAGGCACTCTGCACATGCTCAGACACATCGCTGTTGCATACTAAGAGTGTGTCTTCCAGGCCACCCGGTAACCAAAATTATTTCTTCCCCAAACCTGTCGGGTTCGGCCTTAAAGTTTTCCGGCTCAGTGAACTTTTCCGTGTCGTTTAGAATATAAAGGCGTGTACAATATATGTAAAACTCTCCACATTTCTCTCCCAACTTCTGTTTGGCTTCCCAGAGAACGTGGCACTTCTGTTGCTGCCCAGAACACATCTGTCTGCACCACAGAGTTGATAACCTCCCCTAAATACGTTGAGATGTTAGGGACTCCCACTGTAGAAAGTTTCACAATATTCCTCCAGTAAATTTGTTGCAAAACATAGCCCCCATAAGGTATGAAAGAACTGGAAGAGGCAGGACTCTTAGTTACAATATCCCGGTATAATGTGTATTGGCAGAGAGTGGGACTAATCAGTTTGCCATGCCGGCAGAGTTGATAGTTCTTGCATGCCTATCGAGCCATATGCTACAGGCAGAAATAAACAAACAAAAATCTTACACTCAACCAGTGTGCGGTGCAAGTTGGCTGAGTTTCCAAAATAAGTGTCCTTTTGGAGAAATGCAATATTTAAACCAGTGGACTACAGATATAAACCCAATTCACACATGCAAAGTGCCACCTGGAGTGTGTCTTGATGCATAACTAGGTGGAGGCCACTTTGCATGACGGTTCCAGCAGTGTTAACCATGTTGCCTAATCCATCTGTTTTTGCAGTAATTTTGTGGACACAGCTAAATGCAAATTGGAACCAGGTGATACTGTTTCTGTGTGATCCAGTTTTTAAACATACCAGTCTAGTCAATATAATTCTCAGCATGGCCAGAACTGTGGATACTGAAATCCAGAGACTGGAGCTGTGAACAGACAAGATAGATCTTTCTACAAATTTGAGAAAAATCTGAAATAAAACAGTACATTGGGGGGTTAACCCCCCTGCAAATGATAGATCCAGTACTTGTAGCTTTAAGCCATGTATGCGCTCAGTACTGTTGCTAGGCAACCACAAAAGTATTGCCAGTTGAAGTCTTGGTTTCTGTCACTTAAAGGCAGGGGAAGGGGAGGGGCCCTTTCCAGGGCTGTTTTGGCCCTTCAGGGAGAATCAGAGCCAGCCGGGCAGTAACTACTGGATGACTTGATACCATTGAGTTCCATGATTCACCTGGACGCAGCTGCTTGCTACTGTTCAACAGCAGCCACTCCATGAAAGTCAGTGTGGTGTAGCAGTTAGAGTTTCAGACTAGGATCTGGGGGATCCAGGTTCAGATTCCCACTCTGTCATGGAATCTTGCTGGGTGACAGGTAAAAGCACTCTGCCATGGAATCTTGCTGGGTGACAGGGAGGCAGGTAAAGGTAGGTTGGCTGTATGGGAAGGAGGCAGGAAAAGGAGAGAGTCTATGGGGGCTTTCAGGGAAAGGAAAGAGGAAATAGTGAAGAAAGGGAAAATGAGATTCACCCACAAGCTCTTGCAGGTCCCCTGCTTGTTTTTTAATATTTCCTAACAAGCACAAGGACCTAGAGTGACCAGGCCCTGAGTGTAGTACAAAATTTACAACTTGTTTTCCCAAACTGAATGTGGTTGAAGAATCTTAACAGTTGCACTGCATTTGGAGGAGAGAATAAAAATATTTGAGGGGAAATGACTTTTCAGCCTAATGGGTCACAAGTTCAGCACTACATAAAGTAATAAATTCACACAGCTCTTCTAAGTAATCAGTGTTGTACAAGTGTAGTGTTTCAGGTTCTGTGGGGACTCTATTTTGAGTCCAAAGTTATTAAAAGTCAGCGTGTGTACACTAGTTCTAATACCAGTACCCAGAGAACTGCATGATTAATTCTATATGCCTAAAGAGACTTCAAGCTTGTGTTTTTTTAAAAAACAGCTCCCCCACACACAGCAGATTCCTTTTGAATCTGAGAGGACTTTCACAAACAGTCCAGTGCTCTAGTAACTATATTATATTATTAATACAATAACATTATAATTATATTATACTATTATTAATAATTATATTATTATTATTCTGAAACTATTGTTTTCAAATCACGTGGGCTGGCTGGAAGCTGTTGCCAGATTTCTTGCATACATTTTAAATGATCTTAGTGTTTATTGTTTTACTTATTTGCTCTGTTTTTGTTTTATCCACAATCCCACCAACCTATGGTTGAAGGGATTAAAAGTGAAATAAAGAATTGTCTGTCTTTTTTCTAAAAACTTGTTCAAAAACAAAAAGGCAGTATTCTACTGTGTGTTCTTAGTGGGTTCATTTCAAGTAGATAACTGGGTTGTGGCCATATTCCCCTTTACCCTATATTTGCTTTCTCCTCTTTACCGCCCCTCCCTTTCTGTATTACTTCTGTCAAGTGCAACAATATCCTTTCTTGGCCTTTCAATAGCTCACCATAGCCAATTTCTGCTTATTTCTTCAATGATTCTAACTACTCTTCTCTGCTTATTTCTTCTTTGAATCCATGCTTTGTGTGACTTGTACTGCAGTATCTCCAAATGTTATCACAAAATATTGTAGATAGATAGATAGATCCTCAATGCCAGACCAATCTGGCTCCAAATATTCCACAGGTGCCTCTGTTCCTGCTAGTCAGTTTATACCGACTCTGTAAGACACATCTGTTTCCCCATTAGAATTGGAAACTTCTATCTAAATATTTCTTTTGTGTGTTCTGACCTTTATCCTGCTTTCCTAAAACACTTCTTGTAAAATAATACCTGTGCAGCAAATCTCCCTCTAAGAGAACCGAGATCCATTCCCTGGCTGTTCCCCCACCTACAACATTCCCTTCCATGCTTAAACAAGTCAAGTGCGCACAAGCACCTCTGCAAAAGTGTACCCACCATGTTTCCTTGGACAGCCACATTTATTCCCCAAACAGAGATCCAAATCTCCCACTAATACCTCATCTAGCTAGCTTAGCAAATGTAAGGAAGGGTATTGTTTTCTTCAGATGCCCTTTCAGACAAGCAAACATGCTTCCTAATATTCTGTTGAAATAATGTGACCATCAGAAACCTAGTTTTATCCTTCATCTGGAGGCAGGTAAACTAGAAGAACGGCAAGGATGTGGCATGTATTTAAGAAGGATATAGACAAGGTGGAACATGTCCAGAGGAGGGCAACGAAGATGGTGAAGGGACTGGAGACCAAGTCCTATGAGGAAAGGTTGAAGGAGCTGGGTATGATTAGCCTGGAGAGGAGATGACTGAGAGGTGATATGATAACCACCTTCAAGTACTTGAAGGACTTTCATTATAGAAGATGGTGCAGAGTTGTTTTCTGTTGATCGGAACCAACAGGTTGAAATTAAATCAAAAGAGTCTTCAGCTAAACTTTAGAAAGAACTTCCTGACAGAGTGGTTCCTCAGTGGAACAGGCTTCCTCGGGAGGTGGTGGGCTCTCCATCTTTGGAGTTGTCCATCTGACAGCAATGTTGATTCTGTGAACTGAGGCAGATCATGAGAGAGAGGGCAGGAAGGGCTGTATCAGGGCTTAGTTCTTGTGGCCCTTTCTTACATGCCCAGGGAAATGCTGATCAGCACTTTGGAGTCAAGAAGCAATTCAGGCCAGTTTGGCTAGGGATCCTGGAGGATTTTTTGTCATCTTCTGGGCATGGAACGGGGGTCACTGGGGGTGGGGGGAGGTATTTTTGAATTTCCTTCATTGTGCAGAGGGTTGGACTAGGTGATCCTGGAGGTCTCTTCCAACTCTATGATTTTATGATTGGCAAACATTATCTACCAGTTTCAGTTCACAAATACCACTGTGTCTAGTAGTAAACTGGCTGGCCCTTGTGTGGATGACAAAAACAGGCCACCTGCAGACAAGGCACTGCATCTGTCTGCTCAAGGGACTCCTCAGATATGCAGAAATATATGATGTAAAATTAACAAAAAAAAGAGGAAGGATGACCTTATGAAGACTGAAAGTACACCAGAAGGGACAGGAGGCGCTGAGGATAGATTTTGGAGGGGAAGATTTCCAAATTTCCCTGTCCAGCCCACAATTTCTTTTGTTTCCAGATTGGGATTTCTTTAGTCTGCACACTGCCTTTCTTCCAAGATCCACACGTTGAAGCCCCCCCTAGCACTGTCTAATTATTACCAGTTCCTTTTTTTGCCATAGACCTAGGCATAGAGGGCTGTTACCACACATTGCCACAAATGTTGCTTTATATTCTGAGCAACAGATACAACCTGTTCCACTTTTTGTCTCTGCCTTTTCAGCTGCTATCCTGCTGTTCTTGCATCTCACTTCCATGGATTACACAGTTGCAAGAGCAATTATAGTATTCTTGCATCAAGCTAATGACTGTCTTGCTGTTTTAGCATATACAACTGGTGGATGAGCTTGTGGGGGGGATATACCATCACTGTGCTGAATCTGAGTTCCTTATGGATTTCTCTTGTGTGGAGGCAACTTCAAACTATAAATGTATAGTTAAATGGCTGTCTGTTTTAGATTAATCGTCCGCTTGTAATTTTCATTAGTAAATGGGAATGAGGGTGGATTTTATAAAAACAAGGTAGCAAATTGCTAGCCTGTTAGTTACTGCAGTTATTAAAAATTGTATCCTTTAGTTTAGATTTCCAGTGAGCCTCTGTGGTGTATTGACCTGTATATTGATATTAGGCCTGGGAAACCTGGTTTAAAATCCCCACCATGGATCAATTGCAAAATTGGAGTCAGCATAC